TTTTTAGCCAACCGAAGAGAGAATTCTGGTGGAAACTGTAATCGGAAATCTAAGGGAAATCTTCGGATATCTACCGAAGTTTACCGAGGGAAATGACTTGAAAAGTTGTACGAAAAGGTCGGCGGATACAAGAAAATTAATAAATAAAGGACTTGTCCGTAAGTCCATAAATAAAGTCTGTATAAAGATCTGATGCATAATTAAGGAATACTTAAGTAACTTTTAGTAAATGTTCAATTCTGATCGAGGATTGCTATGAGGAAATGATCACAAAAGATGATTGGATCTTTGCCCAATCAAGTCAAGATTTTCATTGGAATATTGTTTAAATCAATAAACATTAGATTTAAAAATGATTTTGTATATGTTTTCTTTTGGTGTTGTATTCAATCTAGAGATCTAGAGTCCAGTTCTATTGGTAGTAGTGACTAGACAAAAGACGGCAATTTTCGGCAAGGCCTCTAGAAAATTGATTTTCCACGAAACCCCGCAATTTTTTCAGAATAACTAGAGTTAGTAGAGGCCGAAAAAGGAGCGGAATTCGATTTGGATTTCAAATGATAAGTGACTCACTCCAAAGCAGGCCTGTTCCAAAACCGCTACGGGCCGGGGCAGAGGCCCGCCCGGCCTGGCCCGACAAAAGACCGAAAAGCCCAGATTTTCAGAGACACGCAGAAAAAAAAAATCAAAAAACATTACATGTTTGTCATAAATGTTATTTTTTGGAAAAATCTATGTTTTTCGGGATCTGTTTTTCAGCAAAATAAAAGAATCGGTACTAATGCACCTATGGGAGCCACTTTTTTTGCTCGAAAACAACTTTATTAGAGGTTTTTGACTGCGCCGATTCCAAATTTGTAGAAAATTTTTATAGGTTTTTAATTGAGCTTATAGTTTTTAGAATAAACGAGTATGTCTACTTAGATTGGCGCTGCTATCCAAGTTATTCAATTTTTACGTACGCTACTTTTACGTTCGCTATTCTAAGCCCTATAATTAAAGAATTGAATTCATTAAAATCTCATGTAACAAAGATAACTATTAGTTTGATGCATAAGTCTTTTCGTTTTTTTTCGTACTTCTGTTAAAAAGTAACAAATTCACCAATTAATCTATAGTTTGCTCTATAAAAAAAAGTGTTTTTTTTGTTCAATTTGCATCTTTTTAAATGAATTTCGGTTGACTTTCAAGCAAATTCGAGAGTGAAAAACGCCTTTTTCGTAAAAATCTATAAAAAACTCTACGGAAAAATTGGCTGAATGAATTTCTCTGAAATTTTGGCGAAATATCAAACTTTTTTTTCTCTATCTTTTATCTATTGACACGAAGATAGGTTTTCTTTAGCTAAGGTGTCTAAACCGCATCATCGAGTTAGCCCTTTTTGACTACCCGACTTCATACTGTCAAGAAAATCCAGGCATCAAATATTTTTAAACCCGTTTTAATGTTATTTTGCAGAAAAATAATTGGTTTTTCTAATGAAATCAACCGTAGTTTAATTGGTACATTTGTTGGCTTGAAACGGCAGACGAAAAGGAACGAAAAGACTTATGCATCAACCTAATAGAATAAAATGTAAAGTAAAGTAATAAAATGTAAAGTAGCAACGATAACTAGAATTGAAATGTAAAATAACGATGATAACTTTTAGATGCACGGGTAAAGCTGGTGCAAATTCTTTATTATGATTTATGCGCAAGGTACACAGCTATAAAATAATATTTGTTTTTAGGTAATATGTTAAATCTTATGCTTACACTTTTTGGGGGTCGAACTGGCTATTGACCATTTCATATTGATCATCAATTATTTTCTCTTAAATAGAAAAATACGCGTGATGGTTTTGCGCGATGTTTTGGACTTTGCGAGAACCGAATTCGTAGGGTTTTGTCTATATTTTGCTTTTAACGAGATGTTTTAAATGAACCAATATGTAATAATACAACCAAAAGAGCAAAATAGATAGCATTCCACGCGAAGAGAGGAGCTCAAGGCGATAGGATCTCATCTGAAACATCTGAAACCACTTCTCCCGCTTTCTAAACATTTTACCCAACACGAATTTGTTGAAAAACGAAACTGTAGACAGTGATTGAATGTTTTATGGACTCTATTTAGTTTTACAGCAAACTTTTATTCATTGACACTTGAAGAAAAGAGTTATTTGAATCTTTAGCCAAAGACACCATAAAGATAAAGATTATATTGTGGTTAGTTTGCTTTTTAAAGAACTTTTTTCGATTCGAAGTGAAATTGAAAGAAAACTGATCATTGAATGCAAAGAGATGATCTAATAGAAAATCCATTTCAAATTCGGTTTCCAAATTCGAAAAAGAATCAAGAAATAGTTTCGCTTCTTCTGATTTTTCACGGATTTCTTTAGCACCATAGTTTTCTAATAAATTACAGTAATCTTGCATGATTTTAGTGGATTTAGTGGATTCCTTTTTTTCATTCACTTTCATTTTAATGATGGCTTTTGGAGTTGAAAATTTACTTGGAATTTGTTCTTTTAAAAACATTTCTATAGTATTTTCGAATTCTTCTTTTGATTTTGAAGAGGAAAATATTAGTTCACTTTTTGTCTCTTTTAAGCCTTTCCAAAATGAGATTTTGCTGAAAAATCGGGGAAAAACGGCTCGACAACTTGAGATTTGTGGCTTTTTCATTAGATTTCTGAAAATTTCCTCGTTTTTCACGTAGTCCGAATCTTTGCTTGTTTCATAAAGGCTTATAATTAGAAATTCCACAATTTTTCCATGAAAATGCTCAAAGAGTTCGTAGATTTTTGGCAATCGGCCAATGATTTCCATATTTGCAATACTTTGAATCTTTGGTAAGAATTGCAAATTTTCAAAGAGGAAAACATTTCCCAAATTCTTCTCATCAGCCATTTCATCGATATTGTTCAGGTAGATTTTGAGGGATTTACATTTTAGCGTTTTATTGAATATTTTGAAGAAAGATGGGATAAATGAGAGGTTGAGCCTTGTTTGCGCACTATTAAAGTTCACCCAAAAGAACTGTTCATCGATGAGTGAATGGCAGAAATGATTTTGCTCAAATCGATCGAAAGATTTGATTGAATCCATTTATTTGGAAAGAAATTTCAGGGAATTTCTCCAAAAATGGTCCATCAGAGAGGATCTTCTTTCGTAGATATTTTGAAACTTTGAGAAAATGAAGAGAATCTTCAAGAGAAACCCGGTGAAGAATCGAGTTTTTCAGTTCTTTTGGAAGAATAGAAAATTTGAATCGTGGAGACATTATTGAAATTGGAATATAAGAAAAACTTTCTAACTTTTAGGATAGAGAATTGAAAATGATGATTTCTTCATTCAGCTTATCGCTTTTGCTGATTTCCGAAAAGCAAAACTGACCTCAAAGTTCAAGGATTGTGAAAGAGAATCTGCGAAATGGGAAAAGAGAGATCTACGGTGAAAAGCCCACGCTTTAGTGAGAACTGTTGGAGTGAATAGTGAGAAGAATTGTGCTTTCTCATGTCTCTCACACAATCGCTTCTCATCTTCTCCCACTCCCTTTCCCTATATACCTCGAATTCTCTTCTAAACCTCTGGTTCGTTTGCATTTGACCTAGAAAATCTTTTGGGCTTTTACTAAAGATTTCCGTGTAAAAGGACAACTATGCGTACATTTTTCTCTAAATTTGATCAAATTCAAATGTGTCGAACGCACAATTCTTCTCACTAAAGCGTGGGCTTTTCACCGTAGATCTCTTTCACCGTAAATCGGGGAAAAACGGCTCGACAATTTGAGATTTGTCGCTTTTTGATTAGATTTCTAAAAATTTCTTCGTTTTTCACGCTTAAAAGTTTTTCCTGCTTAAAAGTAGCAAATTATACCAGAAAAAAGTCTCTAAAGAGAGGATCAGCTCTCCAGAAAGAAGATCAGAAAGGGGCTATTATCTGTGGAAGTTTCGAGAAGTTATGACTATTTTGAAATGCTAATGCTTGCATATACTCATTTCCCTGATGTTCTTCGCCTTATCACACGTCATTATTACGGTCAAAGGATCGTAATAATGACGCCAATCAGTCTTTTTTCTTTGCTGCTTTCGCCCTTTCGCCCAAATTTCAAATTTAAGCTAAAAATGTTTTTCCAAAATTGCTTGGGCATCAAAAGGATTCAGTCTTAGAATACAAAACTGCAATTAGAATCAGAAAAGCGGGAGTTTTCATTGTTATAAGTCATCTCTTATCACTTAAGTTGAATAATCAATAGTAAAAGGATTGGTTTTACTGTGAGCTTTGCTTTGCATGTTTTGTAGATTTCTTTACAAATAAGCCCCAAAAAATTGTTTTACTTTTTGAGAAGAGTCAAGATTTCTTTGTCAATACAAACAATGTTTTTAATGTAATGATTCTCACCAAAAACCAAACATCTGAGCATATTTGTCATAAAAATTTGTGCTAAAAAGAATTAAAAAGAATCCAACTTTCAAGAGATCCCAAATGACAATAAATGTGTGATTGCGGTCTTTGATCGTTAGTTTTTAGAAAAAAAATTTGAAAATAATTGCATGTATCTGCTGATAACCTAGCAAAAATATTAGATTTAATCAAAATTAAAACAGTGAAGAAAATTTGCTTAGCTGAATACTTGACGTTGTTTGTATGTGTACACGACTACAAGCGGATGTGGTAAAGATACAGAACATATTCGAGAACATATTCTATGATACAATAGAACCCCAGTGAGTTAAAGCCGATATTTTTTGGACAAACTTCGTACTTTACGCTCATAAGAAATTTCATAAGAGATACAAAACTAAAATCGACGAAAGGATAGGCTAAAAAAACTTTTAAAGCTACAAACCAAAGACATCTGTGTCTAGAGGGCCGAACATCGACAAGGACTCAAAAAGTCAAGAACTCTCACTTCTGGCAAGATCCTTTAGTGGAATGGGCTTGTTAAATTGAATGCAAACTCGTAAAGGCAAAGAGTTGGAAATTTCTCCCAAGTAAAACCCGTAAAATTTATCCACCAGTATAGTAATAGCCAACAATGCATGCAAAAAACACCACAAAAATGGCAAAAATTAAATACTTAATGCCAAAAATGACATCAGTTACTTTAGCTTTCTTTTCGTCAATATTCGTTTCCTCGGACCGAACGGGTTTCAGTGGCTCTCGCTCTTTAAGTCGCACTTCTTCGTTTGAACCCAAAGCCTCAAAATTCAGCATATAAATGGGTGAAAAATGATTGATGCACCAGCAAAAATTGATCAATTTCGGTAGTTGAGACATCAGCCGTGTCGTACACCATTTTACGCAAAAGTTCAACGTTTTCCTGGTCGAGCTCAGACGATAGAGGCTCGAGCTCCTCTTCGGTGATCAGCTCGTCCTTAGAAGCACAATTGATATAACTAAAAGATTGTTTTGTTATACATCAAAATACACGATCATGATATAAAAAATGTGGCACTATCAATATTTGTTGAAACTTCTTGACGTTACTTTTTCAGAATCTCAGAGAAAGTAGCACCAATCTGCTCAAAGTCCAACCGTACCTGAAAAGATAGAATTTTATTATTTAATCGTTATTGGCAAGATTAGTTTTTCTAACTCTGTAGCTCTCACTTACGCTTTCAGGGCTCCTGTATGGTTCCACTTCTTTATATCCTTCGAAATCACAAAGTCTAATTTTTCGAACGTCAGCCTCTGTCAGAATGCTGAAAGGTTGCAAGCAATTTTATCGGAAACTTTTTAAAGAACTTACTTGAACAAATTTATATCGCCGTGAATGATTTCCTCTCCGTGCAACCATTGCACAACCATCAATAGTTGTTTGAACCAATTAACAATGTTTGCTAGTGAATAGTTGTAGTTATCGAGAACTAAAAAAGGATATTTCCTTTAGCATTGGCCCCTCACAAAAGAGAGCTGGGTACTCCAAAAGTAGAAATGAAAATACCAAGACCAGTTTTATCCTACTCAAAATCCCGAATACTTTGCTCACCTTCTGACAGATTCATGGGGTACTCCTCTAGCAAGATACCGTAGATCTCATTCCTAACACTTAAAACATTGTAACAAACATCTCCAAGACATTTTACAACATTTTCGTGCTCAAGGCTCTTCAATAATTTGAACTCATCTTTGATCTTCTCAATACAACGTTCCTCGGCAAACTTTGCGACACACGTTGTATCTCTTAAAATAAACTAACAAGAGAAGTGCACCAACTTAAGATGAGCTTTTGGATCGAGACCCCCAGACCATTCGATGCAGAATTTCACGTTGATTCCGGATCTGCTTTCCGTTTTTGCAAAATGGTTCTCTATAAAAAGTTACAAACCTTTTAAATTTGTAGCCAAAAAATAAAATTTTCCTAGCCGGCATTCCCTCATAAGGCTTCTTCAGTGCCAACCAAGTGTCGACTGACGTTGCAGTGGGTAGAAGGCTTCTACACAAAACGATTTCTTCATTTTTCTTTGCTTGGCTTCAAAATTTCATCCTTTGTTTTTCTTTTTATTTTGATGTTTCAACACTTAAATTTGTTTTATTTTTTATTTCAGGGTACCAAATTGAATTTTTTAGATTGAAGTTTATAAATAAAACTAAACATTTACAGATTAACATTGATGACAAAAAGTGAAGTAACAGACAAAACAGTAACAACTTTCACAAAAAGGACATAGAATAAAGGCTCTTTCACAACACATATTTTCTGCACAACCTTTGCTGGCGATTTCTTTGAGAAAGCAAGCCTTATGAGGGAATCCCGGCTAGGAAAATTTTATTTTTTGGCTACAAATTTAAAAGGTTTGTAACTTTTTATAGAGATCCATTTTGCAAAAACGGAAAGTAGATCCGGAATCAACGTGAAATTCTGCATCAAATGGCCTGGGTCTCGATCCAAAAGCTCACTTTAAGTTGGTGCACTAGTAAGGGTCAAAAAATATGCCCTTTGAATGATCTAGTGATTCAGCTTAGAAAAAAATCAAAAAGTAGCTGTCGTAAAATTCTATGTGTGTAAAAAAGACTACGAAGTATGCTACCTCATTGGAATTTGCAGCCGAAAAACTTGACTGGTTCCACCATCTTTTATTTTGTCTAGCATCATCGCGAGTCAGATTCTGAGCTGTCCCTAATTAGTTAACTTGATTTCTCTTCGGAGAATAATCAAAAACTCAAAAAGAATATAATCAAACAATTCCTCTTTAACAGAAAGGAGATAAAACTTAGAAAATATCGGTGAAGCGGGCAACTCTCAAATTCATTTTTGAAGCGTTTTCTCTTTTAGCAATGTGTTATCACCAAATAGCAAAATTTTTAAGTGATGCTTGCAGTTTTGGGTTTCTTGTTCAGCTCAAGTGGAAAAAGACTTATCAGTCCGCCTTTCAAAAAGCTGAAGGTGGCTCACCTTTTCTAAAAACAAGCCTTTCTCCTTTTCTATCGTTGCCTTCAAAAAAAGACTTTGAGGACTCAGCCACTATTCAATTGATCATTTTTATTGATTGATCTCTTTCTTGATTCATTTTTTATTTCATCCTATTATACATTGTGTTTTTTTTTAAATTTACTCAAAATGAACGGAGATGTGCTTGCTGTAAGAAACCGAAACAATTGCAATACATCAGATGACTTGAAAAAGTTCGTTTAATTTTCTACAATACTTCCTTTTTTGAAGTTCTTGACTTCACTTCATCAACACTTCATTTCAACAATTCAAACTTTAGATTTATAAAGTCATTTCTCAAAAAAGGCAGCAACATAAAAAAATTTGAAAAAGAAGTGGAGATTTTGCGGTCCCTAAAGCATGTGAATGTGATCTCCTTTGAAGGAACGAACGAAACGGAAACAAAACTCGAGATCATTATGGAATTTTGTCCAAATGGAGCACTCGAAAAAGGTGAGATCATTTGTGTGTAGACAACTTTTGAGCACTAGAATACTAGAACGAAGACCGCCTTTCAATTACTTGACAGAAATTACAACAATAAGCAACCTTTTTCGAGAATATCAAGAAGAACTATTTAGTGATTTATGATCCAAAATGGCTTTACTCGATGCACACGGTTATCTGGTGGTCCCGACAACTTTTTGAAGCTCTCGCTTATCTAGCCGAACAGAAAGTTCTTCACGATGATATTCGCCCGCAAAAGTTGTAACTTCAGTTTGGCTTATAAATTACCGTAAATACTGTAATTGAAGGGCACTCTCCCCATACAAAGTTGGCCGCCCAAAAAGTCACTACTTTTGAAAAGAGTTTGGCTGAAAAGTGCTTAGAATGGTGTATATGGGCCATATGTATTGGGTTGGTGAATTGAAAACTGCCGGACTTTGAACTCAAATTTATTCATCATAAAACCATAAATTCATTCCAAATAATTCCCATTATTATTGACGACTTCTGCCCATTTTACAGGCAATTTGCGGATTCCTCTTTCGTAGTATGATTTTGCTTTTGAATCGAAAAACTTTCAAAGCCAATTTTTGACTGCTTCTTCCGAAACGAAGTGTTCTCCCGCAAGCTCATTACACATGACCCGGAATACATGGTAATAAAAAGGGGCGAGGTCCGGACTGTATGCGGGATGCGCCAAAAGTTCCCAAACAAGGCTATTTATTTTAGAGCGAGTCAGTTTTGCAACATGAGGGTGTGCGTTGTCGTGAAGGAGAACGATCATTGACTTGGAGGCCCTATTCTTCTCTAGGGATTCATTCACCTTTTTCAACTGTTCACTGTATTTGATTGCCTTAAGGGTCGTCTTGCTATCCAGCAACTCCCAGTACACCACTCCCTCCATATCCCAGAAAACGCAGAGCATAAACTTCTTCTGGTGCAAATCGGGCTTGGGGTCACTTTCGGGTTTCTCGCCTGGCCCCACCCATTGCCGCTTCCTCCGAAAGTTCAGAGATAAAACCCATTTCTCATCTCCTGTCACAATTCGAGGAAGAAAGGATTTCCTTTCGTATCGTGATAGATGCGCGGCACTGATGGAGGCGCGCTGCCACTTCTGGGGGTCAGTGAGGTCATGGGGTACCCAAGTTCCAAGTTTCAATTTAAATCCAAGGGTATGAAGGTGATTTAGCACTGTAACATGATCAACCCCTAACTCTTCTCCCAATTCACGCGATGATACCCGATGGTCGTTGATAATGAGTTTGAGTAATTTGGAGTCATCCAGTTGGGGTGCCGCTACACGGCCCTCTGTATCTTTCAAAGATTTGTCCCCAGATCGAAACTTGGCAAACCATACTCGACACGTTCTTTCGGAAGGTGAGTCCTCCTCATATATCTTTTTAATATTAGCAGCTGCCAAGCCTGCACTGTGCTCTTGTAGGAACTCATAAAGAATGGCATGATGAATATGTCCCGGTGGCAGATTGTCGAATGCAATAGAAGAAGTGAAGAAAAATATCAAAAAATAAAAAGCTGGAAGCATAATTTTTTCGCAATAATTTGAGGAAATGTTGAAGTAACCAAACCGGGTCTATCCCAAAACAGCGCCGCCAAAACAGCGCCGACCAAAACAGCGCCGCCAAAATAGCGCCGTACCCAAAACAGCGCCACCCAAAACAGCGACGAGCAAAAAAAATTATTTTTTAGATTTTTGCTTTTGCTTTTTCTTTGCTGTTTTTAACTTTTTCTGTCCACTTTTTGTGTTTTTAGGGTAAAAAAGGCGGAGAATCCGATTTTTTTAAGCTTTACGCATAGAAACCTGCAATAGCGTTTATAAAATTGATTTTAACCAAAAATAACAATTTTTTTCCTTTTACGGCCTGTTTTTTAACGTTTTCACTAACTTTTTATTTCTACTACGGATCACTTGAAAGCTCTAGCCGTTTATGTTCATCATCGCTTAGTGTTATGATGTTTTAGAGTCTCTTGGACTATTAATTTGATGCTATTTTAATGTTTTTATGCATCGTTTAATTGTTATCGTTTATTGTTGTTGGTCATGTTATTTTAAAATAAATTATCAAAATTAAAAGCTGCTAATAAAAAAAATGAGTGTACATTGTAAAAGAAAAAAACTTTGTGTTGCATCGGCGCTGTTTTGGGCGTTTTTCATTGGCGCTGTTTTGGGTACGGCGCTATTTTGGGTGGCGCTGTTTTGGTCGGCGTTGTTTTGGTCGGCGCTATTTTGGCGGCGCTGTTTTGGGATAGACCCACCAAACCCCTTTCAGCTGGTTCAATGCTGTTGTTTTTTTATCTGCGAGTCCCGCGAAATAGCCCGCAGTTTTCAATTCACCAATCCAATATAACCCAGAAGGGTTGGCAGTAAAATTTAATTTTAAACATGTTTTTCGTTTTTTTTAGAGCATTTCCAATCGAGCTAGAGTACTTTTAAAAGATTTTTTAATTTTATATGGTTCCCCTTATCTGATTTTTCGGAGAATCCGAAAAAGGATAGGGAAAAAAATAGAAGAGCATGCCCTTCAATTACAGTATTTACGGTAATTTTTCAGCCTTCTGTTAGCTGACGATTTCACATTGAAAATTGGAGAATTTGGAAGTGCAAGTCGGTTAACAGGATCGCTGTCTAAACGAATGTCGAAAAGTGATATCTACAGCGCTGCAATGGTCATTGTGGTCCTTGATAATCGAAGGTTTTGTTTAAGATTCACTGTTGACAAAAGCACAAAATAATTTAGTCTTTTAATTTATTGCAAAACACCTTCAAAAGCTGTTTAGACCTCCTACCAGAAACGAGAAAACAAACGAGGAGTTGCTGACTATAAAAGATGAAAAATTAAATACACTAGTCAACAAGTGAGAGCAATGTTTAGATGCATATTTATCATTGTTTTAAGGTGTCTCCAACAAAATCCAAATGATCGACCGAGTGTCCAAGAGTGCATTGGTTTACTCGAGGAGCTTTTGAAGAAATTTGAAGTAGAACATTTAAAACACCACAAATTTATGTCAATTACAGAAAAATGAATCCTTTGAACGTCTACCGAAACGACAACTGGAAAGTCAGCCCACTGTCAATGATTTTCGTGATAAATTGGATGCCTCAAAAGTCACCATTGATCGACTTCTTGAAAACTTCTTTGATCGACTTCTTGAAAACAAACTTCAGCTATCCAATAGCAATCTTGTCAGAGAAAACACTCTGCCAAATCGATTCAACAAACAACAACAAAGGGATCACACTTCTCGGGAGCAAATAAGCTTGCTGCTTGAGAGTTTACTTCTTTTCTCCATGTGTGCCGATATTAAAATTTGGCCTTTATTCATTGAGATTGCAAATCGTTGTTTGAGAAAATTGGCTTACTTAATCAAGATTTTCACACGACCATTCTATTTGAAAGTTTTTATGAACACGACAACTCTCGAAGAATGGTATTACCTTAAAGAGATTCCAATAAAAGGTCACAAACACCAATGGAAACAGCACATCTTTCTGAAGAAAGACACTTTACAGGGAAAGCTTTTGGTCGGCGCTTTGGTGGATGAGGAAAGCCAGCTGACCGTCTTTGATCCGAGAACCGAGATCGAGCAGCACAAAATGCAGTTCCTAGCTTTTGAGGTGATTACACCCGAATGGGTTCTTGAGCGAATCAAAAGCTTACACTTTAAACGAGATGCTATTATTCATATGATGGTCCAAACAGCGCAAAGCACTCCTGTATTCAGCGACGAAAAATTGAGAGCTCATCTAACGACGGGTTTCGAGGAAGAATTTACGGATATTTATCAAACCAACGACCGCAAGGAGTCAATATTAGCAATGCGCGTGCGTTTTTTGACGATCCCACGAAGTGTACTGTTAACCTATTATGGATGGTCGTTAAAGGAGCTGCCGGTTTACCAGAAGTTTTACCATAGAATTGGTCTATTGAACGTGATGAACAAAAAATCGCTGCAACCTTTGTATCGTACGTTGAGTCTGGAAGATTTTGAAAAAGATATTGAGACAAAATTTAGCAGCACGCATCTCGACTTTTATGTTTGGAATCGTGGAAATGAGCCGAAAGTTTTCCTCTTGGAGCCCCCACGGTGTATAAACGGATTCAAGAAAACCGTGAAGGGTTTTACGAAAAAATACAACTTTACCGAGGTTAATCTAGAGAAAAACTCCCAAAAGCAGTTTACCCAAGAAACTGTTGATTTGACAGTTTTCGAAAAGACTTTCACAGCGAGACTAAGCGCCATCAAAGGCAACATCAAAAAGAGTATAACGCATGTTAAATGATGAATCGCTTTATTTTAAATTTCAAATTAACAAAAACTTGATTAATAAATTTTTTTGCTGAATAATAATAATACAAATAAAAGCAACAAAAATTAGGATAGCTTCTTTTTTTCAAAGAATCTTCTTTTTTCTTTTTTCATTAACTTTATTTGTCAAAAAAACTTTTCATAAAAACATGGTTAGACTTTTTAAATCGATTTACAAGTGAGCAAAAATCAATCATCTGAACTTTTTCCCGCAGCCAGTGCGAAATCGAAATTTTTTCATGCATCTAACTTACATTGTATGGAATTTATTGGGTTGATGGAAAAGTCCTTTCCGATTTTTTGGGAGATTTTTTGGGAGTACCTTAAATTTGTCCAATTTTGACGTTTTATACCTCATCCTAAAGCTGAATTCAAGACGGACCGATTGGTAAAAACCGTATTGAGATATCTCTTTTCTAAAAGTTTTTACAGCTATTTTAGTAAAGGGCGGCAGAGCCAAAAATGGCTGTTTTCACGTTTCGTTAGTTTTCCGTGCAGAAACCTAGGCTAAAAACATGTGTTTCGTGATCAGCGTCAAAAATAACCCCTAGACACAAATTTTCAGAATCTTAGCAAAAAATTTTTGAAAAATATTGTCACCGGTGGAAGTCGAACCAGCGACCCTCAGATCAATAGCCTTTCGGCCCTTTTCGCGATTTTCCTTCGTTTTTCCCCTTTTTTTTGTTGTTGTAGCCTAAAATTTACCATAATAACAAAAAAAGAGAAAACAGAAAAAAAACGAAGGAAAATCGCGAAAAGCGGCCGAAAGGCTATTGATCTGAGGGTCGCTGGTTCGACTTCCACCGGTGACAATATTTTTCAAAAATTTTTTGCTAAGATTCTGAAAATTTGTGTCTAGGGGTTATTTTTGACGCTGATCACGAAACACATTGGACAAATTTAAGGTAGTCTCCCAAAAAATCGGAAAGGACTTTTCCATCAACCCAATATTAGGTTGGCCGGAAAGTTCTTTCCGTTTTTTGACGCTAGATCTAACTTTTTATTTTACGCATCAAAAACGCCAAATAAAAAAACAGAATTTATCTACTCGAAATATTCACCGTCAACATCAATAACATCCTGCCACTTATCCGGCAACAAATAGATTCCGCGGCGGTAAAACTCACGTGGCTTCGAATCGAAAAACTGAGTGAGTGACAAGAGCATTTCCTCGACGTTTGCCGGAAAGAACTTTCCGTTGGCCGGAAAGAACTTTCCGACCAACCTAATATTGTGAGCAATTGGATCGACTTCGCCGGAAGATGCGCAACCGTCAAGGACCAGTCATTTTGCTTCATGACAACCCAAGACCTCACACAGCAAGATTGAAAATCCAAATTTAACTGATGTTAATGAATACTTTAAAGACAAAAGCTCTATTATCGAGACTTTAATTGTTACTGTACCACCGTGTTTTCGTTAATAATCCTTCTATGTGCTCAATTTACATTTCGAGGAATACATCAATATATCAATCACAAATATATTAATTAATGGTCAAAAAATAAAGTTTTACTTATTGAATAACTCTCTTACATTTAAATACTGAATAAGTTCTTATGACTAAGCAATGAATTTATCATTTTAGATGAAACTCATCGCACCCTCCATTATACCGAAAGCTTTCTCGTAAAAAGCTGGTTCAATCTGAAGAATAAATGTTAGAAGAGCTTACTTTTAAAGCTACTTAATAATCAAAAACACTAACACTAACTTTCTGTTTATTACCTTTTTCGTGAACTGAAGATAAACGAATGGAGTGCTCGAGGCTTTTCCTTTGCTCATTCCTTTAAAATCGATGAATGAATTGAATGTTATTGGGTTGGTGAATTGAAAACTGCGGGCTATTGTCATATGTGACAGTTTGAGCACTTTCTTCAAAAGAAACCCATTTTGGTGTCAATGGAAAAGTTGTAGAGAATCAAAAATTAGGCTTATATCCAAATTTTCAGAACGATTCAAAAACTGGTTTTCAAGAAATGCCAAATTTACGAATTTTCACAAAACTTGCATTTTAAGCAGAGCTACTACCGTAAATACTGTAATAGTACCCCACCCCCATAATGACGGTGCGGAGTGTTGTGTAGTCTAGCTTTGAACGAGTTTTTCTCGACACTGGTGTATGCTACAATGCGCGCCTAGGTATCAAAAAATAGCTGAAATTCAGGGCTATTTTTTGATACCAAAACGTATTTTTTGAAAGTACGGGTGCTTTAAAAAAAATGAAATACTAAAAAACTTTTGCGACTACGCGACTGTGCGAGGGGGGTGGGGTAGGGTACTATTACAGTATTTACGGTAAGTGTATCTTTTTGGAAATTTGGCTATAAGCCTAATTTTTGATTCTCTACAACTTTTCTATTGACACCAAAATGGGTTTCTTTTGAAGAAAGTGCTCAAACTGGGGCATCTCCAGTCCTCCATTTTTGAGTCTCGCACTTGTCTCACACACAAACCAAAATCCTACTATGAAAGAGGAATCCGCAAATTGTAAAATAGGCAGAAGTCGTCAATAATAATGAAAATTATTTGGAATGAATTGATGGTTTTATGTTGAATAAATTTTAGTTCAAAGTCCCGCAGTTTTCAATTCACGAACCCAATATAAAGAAATTACAAACCGTTAAAGAGTTCCCGTGCCAATGTGCAACATTTCGGGCTTATTGAAGTAAAAGCAGAGAATTGTTCCCAATTGATCTTTTTCAATGTATCGTGTACAAGAGTCTCTGCTACAATCTGAAAGGCGGCTTTAGGTTATGAAAGCCTAACAAGTGTCGTAAAATGCAATATTGATTTATCGGTTTATCGGTTTTATAATTAAATTTCTTTCGATCAAGCTTCTAAGAATTTTGAAAAACGGAAAACAAGAACATCTAACATACCAAATTGTCAGCATAGAATGGCCCAGCAACAAGCTTTTCATTCAATTCTCGAACACAAAGAACACCCATTATTTTATCATCAAGAAAAGCCACCTAAAGTAAGCCGATTTTAATAAAAATTGCTAAAATCACCCTGGTGATAGCTTTGGGTGATTCCAAGAAAGCTTTCAAGTATTGAACTCGATCGAATCCAGGGAGAATCTCTTTTTGATCATAAGCGACAATTGTCTCGAATTGAATTTCTTTAAGAAATCTTTTGAAAACAAAGAATTCAAGTACCTTTTAACGATTTTGTGGATATTGATGGATTCTTTGTTGGAATTTGAAGTTGATTCATTGATATCTAAATAGAACGATTCAAATACTGATAACAGTAATACCTCAAAATAATCGTGTGGCTCTGGAAGAACTTCTTTGAATCCATAGCGTTTCTTGTACGTTTCGGCCATTTTTAAAACTAAATTTTAATTGTTTCATCAAAAACCCATATTTTATCTTGTATCACCTCCATCCAAACAAACATTTTGATTTCCGATCTGATTGATCATTCTCGTGAAGAGATAGTTACCCAAACCTTTTCGTCGAAGCTCCGGAACCACATAATAAATTCCGATCTATAAACAAGTTTAGGGTATGCAAATGTTTAGTAGGCAATCTATTTGAGAAAAAAACTCTAGATGAAAAACCATATAGAGAATCAAAAAAATCAAAATAGAATCAATAACTGTTTCTGTAATGCTTAAAGTAGAATCATTAACTGTAGAATCACTAACTGTAGAATCATTAACTGTAGAATCACTACTAGCTGCTTAAAGTAGAATCACTAACTATTTCTGTAATGCTTAAAGTAAAATTCAACATACAAGCTACTAAGATTTTCTGAAACTACAAAAAAATTGCAATGTTTTGGTTAAGAAAAGAAAAGAGGCTTTTGTAAAGAATAAATCCTTATAGCCTTCTCGATAAGCCAAGAACGACGCGCGGATACTTAGTATCAATTCTGTAGAAGAAAACCAGAAGCTAGTGTGCCAGGTGAATTTGTTTCCATGGATTTTGGTTGTTTGCAAGTCTATTTTCGTACCGAGTATACGTCATTATCAGAATTTCCATCCAGTGATCGATATCGACCAGAGAATAAGCATCCAATTGGGTTATCATCTGTTAAATAATTAGCGGAATAAAGAAAATAATCAGCTAACCTTCATTTATAGCAAAATATGCGCAGAATTTATCAATTGAGTTGAGCCAATTTCGGTAATCAGACGAACTGAGTGACCAACCTTCGGTTTCGGTGATCTGCAAGGAATGGCAATGAAAGGATGATAAAACGATTAAAAAACAATTAAAAAACAATAAAATTAGAGCGTTAGAGCATTTCTAAAACAAAAATTTACCCTTCTCCGTATTTTCTCCCAATATTTGCGTTCGATTGGTGGATTTATAAGAATTTTGATGGATTTCTCGATATTTGATAGTTTTTGAGGATCAGATTCAGTCAAAGGCTTCCAGTGTTCAGAAAGAATAAGAGGATTTTCCATTTTTAGTTTATACTATTCAATTTTCTTAGTTCATTTATATACTTGTCCCTCCTTATTTGCACTATCAACATCATTTAGCAATCCTCACCGGTTTTAGTGATAAGTGAACTAGTAAATTTGCCCTTTTTCCCGTATTACCTGTTTATTATATCGTAGTTATTACTGTCAAATGCATGTCAAAATGGTTTTTTTTGGTTTAACTTTCTTTAAATGTAATACTTGATAGTTTTTTACCCGTTTATCGTGATGTAAGGCGTAATTTGAAAAAGCACCTTTTTATACTATATCCTGCTAAAAAAATATTTTAGATATGGTCGTCGATCGAGGAAAACGAGTAGAGAAGTTTGGCATGAAAGTCGATTCCGTTTTGAATCGAGAGGAGGAAAAGTTAATCGAGTATAGAGATTCATAGTCTGAAATCGAAATCTACCAAATAAACCTGCAAACGTGTAAAAAGTGAATTGAAATTTCGAAGTTTAACTTTAAAGAACGCCTTTCAATCACTGGGATATCATATTCATCTTCAAGAACATTCAACGTATCATTCACAG